CTATTACCAGTTTTACTTCACTACAGAGGCCACTAACACATTTGGCTCAAACACCAATTGCGCCAAATGGAGGCAGCAGCCAGCAAAACAACAAAGAGTGTATTTGTCTGTGTAAAGCTAACAAACCACACCCCCCACGCCTCCACCATCGTCCCACCCACTGAGGTGCTGGCTTCCCCCTTCTGCTTCATCTGCATGTTCACACACACACACGCAGACATAAACACACACATGGACCAAAAACACACGCATGCACCCACGTGGACTCGTGCAGACTGGGGGACGATTGTTTCGCGTTTGAAGGAGCTCACAACTCTGTGAAGAAGAAAAGGGTGTGTTTGTGTTCTGTGGGGTTTCCGGCAAAAGGGTTCACAACAGTCCAGACGGGTGACAGATTTATGAAGTGATATGAAGAGATATTAAAAATTCACACTGTAAAAAACCTTTGACTCTAATATGTCAACAAAATGAAACAATCATTTTGAACCTGGCTTCATTCAATGCTCCGATTTCTATTCTGGAAATGAATTCAAACTACCACATATTTATTAAGAGAATGCCTCATTTGCATATTTTAACATAACATTTCAGAAAACTTGTAATACAAAAGATAATAGCCGTCATCTCAGTAATGAACTGGTGAAGTTTCATGGTGATATCTATTAGTTAAATATTTTAGCCTATTCACCTGTAGTGTCTCCCCTTAAGGAGGAAAACCCTAGAACGTCGACCCTCCTACAGCGGTCTGTCGACCCTCATGCTCAGAGAGACATTAATTAACGGGTTGTGTTTTTGGGGGGATTTGTCTCCAGCTGTGTGCTCGTCTCCATGAGAGCCTGTCAGGGTTGATGGCGAGCTTATTCACTTATGTCTATCAGTGAACAGATGGATGGAAGCCACCCCGGCGGTCTCTGCACCGGACAGGATCTTTGGATATCCTGCATGCTGAGCTTAGCCAGACCACCTCACACACACACACACACACACACACTGTGTTGCCTCCAGTTGCGTAAAGTAGTCACGGTGGTGCACACTATGTCGGGCCCTAGTGCACTCTAGTCATGAAGCACACAAACCATAGACTGTACATAAGTGGACGTCGTCTTTCACCCACTGGTTTGTGGACTGACATTATGAAGCCTTGAGTTCGGCATTTTGGACGTCGCCATCTTGTTTTTTTTGCAACCAGTGAGTGGAAGTGACCATATTTGGACTGAGGAGGAGTGACGTAGAGATGCCGTATACATCTCTGGCAGAGAGACCTGTCAATCACTGTGTAGCCCCGCCCTAAAGCATCCCCTGCTTTATGGTCTGTTTGACTCTAAATGGACGATAACTTACTAAATGAACATCATGCTGTATTGAAGAAGACTTGAAACTAGAGATTGAGACCATAAACTCATGTTTACAATGTTTACTGAGGTAATAAATCAAGAGAGAAGTAGAGTCATTTTCTCATAGACTGCTATACAACTAGAGGAGACGCCCCCTGATGGACACTAGAGAGAATGCAGCTTTAAGACATGAAGCATGGACTTCACTTTTCAGATCCGGACGTTGCCACCTTACACAAACATGCATCGTCATGTCCTCAAATGATCAAATAGAGACTTGACATTTGACAATATCAACATAAATTACCCAGCAATCATCACTGCATATCTGTGTGACATAACTACCAAAGAAAATAAGAAATTACTTATTTAATTGAATATTTTTTATAGTTTATGTAAAGTAAGCACATCATTTTGTGACCGCTACTAACTATTTTTTCCCCCCAAACAGATAAAAATAAAATTAAAAACATTACAGAGATGGGTTCCAAATCACACACATTGACATGCAATGTTACTTCTTAGAAAACAAGTGTTTTACGGTACAGGCCATCAAATAGATTGTTACATTGGCTGTTTTCTTTATGCAGCCCAGAAGCCTGTGCCTGAACCGTCTTTATGTTTTACGCCCCTGGTTGCCCTCATGCCTGTTCTTGCTGTGAACAGACGAAGGACCAAGCCGCTCTCTTCCTCCTCTGATAAAACATCCCTGCTCCTGGATGACGTGGACAACACAGTGCCAGTGGCATCATTTGTATGGCTGCTTATCACAGATAAGACAGCCAGATGTCCTGAGAGATTTTAAAGCAAACATCCGATGAATTTCATCCACTCTGCTAAACAGCAACAGCTAAAAACACGGAGGGGGCATAATTACATAGCGTGACTCGCTGTGCGGCAGCCAGATAGACGGAAAATGTAATTCTCTCAGCAATTTACATGAAGATGTGGGACAAATAATGTCTATTATACCATTTAAAATTCAGATTTCCTCCCCTTGTAATTGACAGAGTCACAGGCCTGCAGCTGACAGCCCACCGAACACTGTAACAGCGACCTCCTCACAGATGGAAATCAATGCCAATGTTAACAATCACCTCCGCTATCATGCTGAACAAAAACATTCACGGTTACCAAACCAAGTCCAGGACGTCCCACAGTGAAATGAGGAGCAGTCTGATCTCCATTCTGACGATGGAATGAAGTATTCCTGTGTCTATTTCTTCATCGCAGATTTTGCTTTAGTAATGATTACACCCCAACCAACAGCTCTGGGTGAAAGGATAAAACATTTTTTACAAGTTCCTCCCAAACAACAACTCTGTGATCTTTCGGGGTCAAAACCCTGTGTATGTCCTCAAACAGTCTTTAAAGTTGAAGTGGCACGGCACACTGTCAGCCCATGGCACCGAGTAAATTAATGATGCTTAAGTAAACTATGGATTAATTATAGATAGCACAATGTGTCACGCGGCATACATGCATATGTGACCGAGTGTCCTGCGTCCCAACAAAGAGGGAACCTGCCTCGGTAGACGGAGGACAGATGGGAAACACACTTGGCGTTGGCTCAACACCGACACTGTCACAGAGGCTCTCTCTGCCCTTGAGCAGAGAGAGCCTCTGATTAGACTTCACTTAAGTTAGTTAGCCCGGAGCAAACACCAGCAGCCAAGCACAAGATAAAGGGACAACAACAACAACAATACAACAATTATACGTATAAGAGCTTTTTATGCAGAGAATGTTAATGGCTTTTTCAGCTTTGTCCCTGAAGCTGGAGAAGTAGGCGAGATATCTCGCAAGAGCCCTTCAAGCTGCAGGAATGTGACCTCATCGAAAGAGTTGTGGTCTGTGTGACTCTAAATGGACCATAAGTTACTAAATGAACATCATGCTGTATTGAAGACGACTTGAAACTAGAGATTGAGACCATAAACTCATGTTTACAATGTTTACTGAGGGAATAAATCAAGAGAGAAGTAGAGTCATTTTCTCATAGACTTCTATACAACCAGAGGAGTCGCCCCCTGGTGGACATTTTGTCTTCACTTTTCAGAACTGGAGGTTTCCAGACTATTGCCCCCATTCTGTTTCTAAAAAATGATCATCATGGTGTTTGAAGCAGGCAGCCATAATGTTTATCACAGACACATCGTCGAATAAGCGGAGGCAAGAACTATGACGTGCGACTGAACCTCCGTGCCTGTTTGTCAACAACCTGAAAAACAGCTCATGATGTTTGGCAGTAAAATGTCGACCAACTTTCTTAACAGCCACGACAGTTGACAATCCTTTAAAGCCCGGTTGGCTACGAATTTCAAATGGGAGAAGAAAGCCAGATGTAAACTTTGTGTAAATTGTTCGACATCGGCAATTGTGAGCCATATGCAAAGTAAGAAAACTCTGTAGTCTAGTCAAAGCATCCTCTGCACCGTGGGTTACAAAGTCAAATACAGGCTAAAAAAATCTACAGAGAAGTTTGGAAGTTGGAGTCAAGAGAAGAATGGAAGAAATGTGGGGTTTGCTGTAACACCAAAACCAACACAACAAGCCAACTAATCCGAAACTATTTTGATAATGTAAGTAGTTTCTATATTTCTAAAAGCAAAACTACCAAACATTTGCAGTTTCCAGCTTCTCAAATGTAAAGATTTGCTGCTTTTTCTCAGTTGTATAACATAATGCATTGAAAATCTTTGTCAGTCAGACAAAACAAGCTATTTGAACATTTTGATACTTTTCACTATTGTCTGACATTTAATTGAACGAAAATATTGATTCGATTACACACGAACGAGAAAGATACATGTTCCTAGTCTACACTTCAAAACAATATGCTTGTATTTACATCGGACTAGTTTGTTTTTGCATTTTTAGTGAAGTTTGTGTTTGTAAGTGAAGTTAAACTGGTTTGGATGATGGTGAGGGTGTGTGTTTGGTTCCTCCTTGTTCAGGACCTGGAGCTCCACTCCTTTGATTTCTCACATTTCTAAAGAACATGACATTTATTTTTGTCTAAAAGGGCACCTCTGTTTACATCATTTTGTCTCTATTATTACACAAAACAAAAGCACGAAGAACAAAGAGCGCTGCCTCATTGTTAAACTGCTGAGCACTAATTCATCCAGCTGAGGCAGGTGCTGGCCCTCAAACAGAAACAGAAAGAACAAATAGAAGCACGGTAAATACTGGACTTCTTTCCAGAAGAATTTGAATGAATCTGATTCTGATTTCCAGTAGAATGTGTCGGCTGCTTAACATATGAATACAAATATACCAGAATAAGGCACCAAAGAAAAACGGTAGATACTTTGTGACTGCATGTGGTCATTCATAAGTTTCACAAGTTTGTCAAATTCAATAAAAGACAATAATAGAAGAGTCATTTTGTTTTGACAGGATCTGACATTCTGCGATGATTCAGCTCCAGGAGATTAATCCAAAATCAAGTAAATTACACACATATTGTAGTTTCTACAGCTACATTTACCTGCTACTGTATCTTACAGTGACGCTTTTGATGAATCACATAACATCACAAATATAACCGTTAGAATAATGTAATTAAAAAAAATCTGAAAGTAGTGTAATGAGATCATTATTGAGTTTGGATGCTGAGGGTCTGGGTACATGCTGTGCAGTGAAATAAATACGCGCTCCTACCGTCCACAGCCATGCTCGGTCTCAGCGTGTATCGCTCCGTGGTGTCAACAGGGCTCTCCCATCTCTCTCCGCCGGATGGATAAATAAAATAAAAAGATGTGGTGAGGATATAAAGAGCGCTGCTTGCCCTCTCTAACCTACGATGTGAGCATGGAGACGGCTCTCATGTAGTCGCACAGAGAGAAGGAAAATAAAGCATGGATCACACTCCCCCTCTCTGTCGGTTCACGGCCATTTGTTGTCCGGGACAAGTCCGATATGAAGCGTCTCCTCCTGAATCTCTCCCCCCCTCCCCTCTCTCTCTCTCTCTCTCCCTCTCTCTCTCTCTCTCTTTCTCTCTCTCTCGCTCTCTCTCTCTCTCTCTCTCCGTATAGCTGACCGCCTGGAGACAAATGGTCATTACGCATCGACACCAGCTGTTAGTGGATACAGATAGCCCGACGTCTCTCTCTCTCTCTCTCTCTTTCACGCACGAACAGCCACCCAATCACGCCTCTTTTTATGATTATAGCAACGCTACAATGGGAATATTATTTGGTATCTTGGTATTATTTTCAGAAAAATATTCATTTAAATAACCCCCAATATGATTTTTTTTTCAATAAAGTGACACAAAGCTGCCAAAAACAAGCATAACATCACTTTAAAGGCGCTAAATTATATATTCTGAGCATTGATGTAGCGTCAAACTAATATTGTCTAAAGATATAGTGGCGCAACGGTGAGTATGATATCTTACCAAAAGTTACTCCTTATTTTTTGTGAGTTTTCTTACGTGTTTTTTTTAAACTACTTAGTTAGGAAAAGATCATAAAATGCTTTGTTAGGTTTAAGAAAAAATCGTGAAATAATTAGTTAGTTCTAAGAAAAGATTGTGAAATACTTAGCTAAGTTTAAGAAAAGATCGTGAAATACTTAGTTAGGTTTAAAGAGAAGATCGGGAAATACTTAGCTAGGTTTAAGAAAAGATCGTGAAATACTTAGTTAGGTTTAAAGAAAAGATCGGGAAATACTTAGCTAAGTTTAAGAAAAGATCGTGAAATACTTAGTTAGGTTTAAAGAGAAGATCGGGAAATACTTAGCTAAGTTTAAGAAAAGATCGTGAAATACTTAGTTAGGTTTAAAGAAAAGATCGTGAAATACTTAGCTAGGTTTAAAGAAAAGATCGTGAAATACTTAGCTAGGTTTAAGAAAAGATCGTGAAATACTTAGTTAGGTTTAAAGAAAAGATCGTGAAATACTTAGTTAGGTTTAAAGAAAAGATCGTGAAATACTTAGCTAAGTTTAAGAAAAGATCGTGAAATACTTAGTTAGGTTTAAGAAAAGATCATGAAATAGTTAGCTAGGTTCAAAGAAAAGATCGTGAAATACTGAGTTAGGTTTACGAAAAGATCGTGAAATACTGAGTTAGGTTTACGAAAAGATCCTGAAATACTTAGTTAGGTTTAAGAAACAAAACTACTAGTTTGCTTTAGAAAGAGATCATCGTTCGGTTAAAATAACCACGGAAGTGCCATAACTACATTACGCAGAGTTAGAGTTATGTACTGCTCTTATACGGCGCTAAGCTTAGCGACCACCCTCCGATACCCCTCAGGTAAACACTGTTAGCTCTGTCTGTCAGCACATTTGCGGTAGTTTGCGACAAGTCCCCAGGAAGAGTGGCAGGGTTTGAGGCTAATTTTACATCGTGGCCAAAAAACTTCAACTTCTGGGTCAGTCACTTGATGCCATCTATGGGGAAAGACTTTTCGCCATGAATATCAATTATTTAATGTTGGTGATATTACTGCAGTTACTGTGAGCTGAAACTGTCAACTGAGCCACAAAAGACGGGAATTCATATCAATAATTGTGTCTGCATTTGCGGTGGTGCATAAAGGGAAATCATGGTGTTTATCAATATTTTTGTTGTCTATGAATCTTGGTCGAGATAAGGTTTTACTCAACAGCTCTGTTCTAGACTTTTGGGAAATGCCGGCTGACGTAAGGTGAAGGAGCACAAGCCTCCTCGTCTTCAAAAGAACCCTCACTTTAACAGAGATGTGATGAAATACTTGCCTTTCTATCTGACTGTAACACAGAAAGTAGTCAGCAGGGAATCTCTCCAAGGAAGAGCTCCCTTTATTGTATCGGGGCAGCAATGAAACATGCACAGTGTGTACCTTGTCATTTTATTTGTTGCAGACAAGAACCCTCGTCTCGTCTTACTCGAACAAGCTAAACCAAAAGTGAGCTGCCATCTCAGACCGACATAAACAAACATGCATTCATGAATAGAGCAAATAAGTCAGCCGGCATGTTGACAGTATGGATCAGCTGTATGAGGCTTTTCGTGTTCACTTTCAGTCACACTCGAAGACAACGGCTCTTTTTTGAAATATGAAAGAGATTTGAACAACAAGTTTTCAATTTCTTTGCAATGTCGGTTGTGAGATAAAACATTTTTATGGCAAATAAAAATGCTGTATTGCACTTCCATAAAGTTTAGGTTCTCACAAGAGACAGATGAAATAAAAAAGAATAACAATAAGCAGAGGTCGAGATATCCAGCATCCAGCTTCAAAACTGTCCTTTTAAAAGGGACAAACGTTTCACCGAGTAGCCCAAAACGATAGATACGGTGTGTTTATGTTTAAGCCTTCTGGTGGCTGTAGTACCAGGCAGCTGGGATGATGTATTTCTGTACGGAAGTTAGCCTCGCACTGGTTCCCTCAACAAAAAGCCAATGAGGTTTTTCCATTGGATTTTGGATTAATGCAAAAAAACCATCTCTGTGGCAGACACACATTTACGATACTTATACGTTTAGTTCAGCAAGATAATCCTCACAAATAAACACTACATTTATGATTTTTTTAAGCGTGAATGTATTTAGAAAAAGTAAAAGCTTCAAAACTCACCAGAGGGGCTTTTGCTGACCTTTTTTATATCATTGAAACAAAACGTTATAATCTCTTGTTAACTACAGACTTTAGTTCAGGCATCTAATAAAAAACACACTGACTTCAAGACGAGGTGAACAGGAAGCGCACAAAGACGTATTTTCATTAATACCACTTGATTGTTATTGAAACCGTCACATCAAAGGACCCCTAACCTTAAAGAGGAGGAAGTCATTTCAACCCAAACCATGATGTTTTACTGAACTGATGTGATGACTGATGAAATGATGTGTGAAATCGGTGGAGTGCCTCTTTAAGGTGGAAAAGCTTCACTGGAACAAAAAGGTCAAGAGCACGTGTGGGCTACCATCTATGCAAACACACGATCTTTGCACAAACCAGGAAACAGAAAGCAGGATAGGAGATCCACTGGGTGCTTGCAGAAAATCCTAAAAACAGCCGCAGACACCCACGTCAGCCGCTATCCGTCAAACAGCCGAGCTTCACTTCAAAGAGGAGGAATTCAGGAGCAGAGTTTGTGAACGCGTCTTTGTCAATGTAATCTCACAACATACCTGGCTAATTGATTCTGCCGGCGCATCAGATGCACGAAGCTCTGCTCAACGCTGGTGGAGACACGTCTCTGAAAGACTTCAAGACAGTCCGTGGGTCTGCGTTGGAGGTCGAGGGCCCTCCCCAGAGTCCAGTTCTCTGTGCGTAGACACTCATTTGTCTCTGCTCATGCTCTCAAAGACAGAGCTTAATTTAGAAGTGTGCTACTGTGCGCCTGTAAGGACATTTTGTCCTGTAAAACAAAAAAGAAATAGAGCAGTTGTAATCTTTAATTCAGAGGATGGTCAGTGCCGTGAATAAGGAACAGGCCGGGCCCTGCAGAGATCAAGGGGTTAGACTTATCGAGTCCCGGCCCCGCTGGTGACAGGTGGCAGAAAAAGAAGATATATATAAGACGACTCTTGTGAAAAAGAAATGTTTGCACAGAGTTCTGTGGCGCGGCACAGATAAACACGAGGGAATAGGAGCTCAGGGGAAATGGAAAATGTTAGTGTTTATATTCATTCTTTACTCTGGACTTTCCACTGAGAGTTTGGTTGAAGCATCCTCCGGTGATAAGCAGTCGGGGAAGGGAAGAGTGATGGGAGTCTCTATACAGCCAATACGTCTTGTAACTAACAGACGATGCCATTAAACTTTTACTGTCACATATGGCCTGTTCTCCTTGTGCCAAGAGACCTGCCTTTGTTTTGCTGTCACAGTGCCACACAAACGCATAGAAAAACACATAAACACACACACACACACACACACACACACACACACACACACACACACACACACACACACACACACAACTTAAACAACTGTAAAAATAAAAAAACAGTATGTTTGAACAGAAACATCTTGATTATAACATGATGAAAAGGGGTGTCTGTGCTAGAGAGACGGAGACAGAGAGAGACAGAGACAGAGAGACAGAGACAGAGAGAGAGAGAGACAGAGAGACAGAGAGAGAGACATAGAGAGAGAGACTGGGAGAGAGAGAGAGAGAGACAGAGAGACAGAGAGAGACAGAGAGAGAGAGACAGAGAGACAGAGAGAGACAGAGACAGAGAGAGAGAGAGAGAGAGAGAGAGAGAGAGAGAGAGAGAGAGAGA